ACATTCTAAATAGCACCTGTGCTCCTCTGTCAAGAATCTTACACATTAAGGTTTATTTCTAATAAAAGGAAGAAAATGAAAAATGATCTAGGGTTCTACTGCACTCTCCAAATATAAATATACGCTCAGAGGCTGGGTAATGAGTTCTGTTCCTTACATTAAGGTTGTGTGTTTTCCTCTCGATCATTATTTGGCATACATCCATGCCACAATCGGCTCAGCCTTACGTTTAATGTGTGCACCAAAAATAAAAAAGTGTCACATTAATCTTTGTATGCTATTTAAATCTTTTTCATAAAAGTCTTCATACTTTATTGGCAAAATGTGCTTGATTTTTTTTTTTATTGCATATTCCAACATTCAGCCACTGTGTACAAGGCCTCTATACTTTTCAAATACGCCTTGAACTTTGCATAGCTGAGAGATTAAGTAGAACTATGATTTTGTTTGTTTAGCTTGTATTTTTTAATGCAAGTATGATTGCTTATATCATTAATAGGTCACATGAGTAAAAGTGCCCATATATCAACAGATTTGAGTGAATAATAAGATGATATTTTTTTACGTTTTGGCTACAGTAAGTTCCAAGGAGCAGGGCCCTCCTATCCCTCTTGTATTGAACTGTATTGTTGCTGTATTGTCTCCCGTTATATTGTAAAGCGCTGAGCAAACTGTTGGCGCTATATAAATCCTGTATAATAATAATAATACAGTAGAGAAAGGTTAAAAGCACTGTCAGTTTATTTTTTTTTTCCTGTCCATGTCCTGTTGGGAAGATTTTCCTTCACTTCTTGTCCTGAAGACACAATAGAAAGTGAGAGAGAATCTCTACAAAATGAGGGAGATTCCCTTATTATAGAGCTGTTGCTGAAAAAGATGTCCCCTTTGGAAGATTTAACCTTAGCTCCTGTTCAGGTGGCAACACTATTATTTTGGATTTCCCTTAAATTTATTTTTTGTGACAATGAACCCAAACATAAACAGAGGGCTGAATCTTAGGGGAACACAGACGGCAACAACAACTTGACAGGGGTTCTAATCCTTCCCTATTATATCCAAAACTAATCTAAAATGTTTTTGCTTTATATACATTTAAGGCGCATGGGCATATATGGAGGAGTATGTGTGGCCATTTGATGGACAAAAATTACAGTATTTACATTTTTTTTTTTAAATGTCATTTTAAACAAAATATTATTTTCCTACTTAGTGCGGCTGCATATAGGTAATAGATAATTTTATGTTAACCCCATTTTGCAGGTTATGTGCCAGTTAAAAGTTTGAGCTTGTCTCATCTTACACTTGTGTCTTTCATAATTTTTTATTTACAGAATGTAGAAATTTAGGATACTTTCCGAATGACTTAATACTCTATCCTTTGTGATATCACAGGCATAATTCCTATTAGTTTTGAGACAATTATTTTGAAAGCTTTTGCACTTGAAAAAAACTAAGCCAGGAAGAATTTAATTTTTGGTCCCATCATAATACAAATATGTGACTAACCATTAAGGACCTGAGGTGCAGTTTTTATTTTTTTTTAATGTAGGTAACATTAAAGTGTATGTAAAGCCTGAACTTAGATTTTATCTTTAGAGAAGGGAAGCAGAGATGAAACAGGAAATCAGAGAAGTTTCTCTAGAATCAATGAATTTCTATCATAGACAGTTTGTTACAATAACAGGATTTTCCCTCACCGCTTGAGACAACTGCAAAATTTTCCTCTCACATACATCATATGAGAAAATATTTTTGTATGAAATTGCACCTGCTTATCTCATTATTAATTACATTTTTATACAAAATTGAGCAATAATAGAAATGATGAAGCATTTCAAAAAAATTAAATGCTATTGGTACAATCCCAAATAACACATGATGACCAGAGGATAACATGCCATATTCAAAGTTACTAGTTGCAAGGTTCAAGGTAGCACTCCTTTGCCCCCTCATCCATATCCAACAAAGGGCTTCTAGGACTGACTTCTTTGTTATTCAATAAATCAGTGATTGTTGTACTTGTTTTACCATGGCCTTGTCCAAAATTACCCCCTGGGTCTCACCATTTAGTCACCAATGACCCTCAAGCATTAAGTGCTGTCACAATTGTCACCAATCTTAAAGGTCATAAGCAGCAAATAAAATATGGTAAAAAAAATGAGTTTTGAAATATACAACAATTTAGACCCCACTACCATCAACATTTGCCTTTCTTGATAAGGCCAAGCTTGTAAACTGGAACCACTACAGTAAAGATTCCCTACCACTCTCAATGTTACTAGCACTAAGGAGTCAGAATTGGAGTGTGGACATCGGGATGTAGCCCTAAGACAACCCTTGAGGTATAAATGTGAACTATCTACATCTCTTAGAAAGACTATCCTATTGTAAACCATCTATATGCAAGAAGATGTCAGACAGTGGATACTATAAACTGTGTATTTGGGGATGTCCCTCACTGCAAAAAAGGATACCAAGATATAAAAGAAGCTTGAAAATAAAATTTCCACTGTGAAAATAACATAGTTGAGCAGTAATATCTATATAAAAAATCACCAACAATTCTATGTTCCCTAAACACTTTACATATTAATATCAGCAGCTCCATCTTGGTAAACACTTAAACACTTGCTCAAAATATAATGAAAAAACAAAACTGACTTTTTGTCTCTCTCAGATGAAACTGGGATGTCTATGTTAGTGTGAAAATGCTATTGCTTTCAACTAACAACAAATAGTACATTGGAAGAAAAAATTATCACAAGAAATTTGCATGTCAAAAGTTTCACAAAGAAAATTTGCATGATAAAAAACCTTTGCACAAAAATGATTGTATCACAAAGTGTGCATTCCAAAAATTATTCAAGTATGTGAAAAATGTTATGTGGAAATACAACATGGAAAACAATAGCCATGTTTCTGTATTTTATTTAGGTTCTACATTTTCTTAGGCAAGATTTAGACAACCTTCACTCAAGATTTACACATTTTTCTAATTGGATTCAATTGGTAATTGTGTAAATTCTGGGTGAATGTTGTGCAAAAACATTTATAAATAGACCCCTAATTAATATACACTTTAAATGCCTTATATTATAATAAATGCATTCAACCCACCTCCCACATAAGTGTAGTGTTAGGCCTCACACAATATTCTGAATATGTTGTGACTATAATTTTGCAGTGGCAGACTAACAGAATTAGACAATCACGTCATGTTAGTGTATGCTAAAATAACTGACATACAGGCCAATAAATCAGGCTGAAATTTCCAATGCTATTCTAGGATGCTCAGAAAGCAACCAAATATAAACTTCTCACCAGTCACTGTTGCGCGAGTTTCTCATTTTACACCAACGACCATTCATTTTTGATCCCTAAAATGTAACTATTTGTCATATGGTGTCTTCACAGTGATATCTATCTATACACATATATATATATATATATATATATATATATATATATATATATATATATACAGATAGATAGATAGTAATGAAGGTAAATCTGTAGGTATATGGTTAGTCTTGACTATAAATATAGTAGTCACGCTGTATGGTGGATGAACTGTTGGCAAAGGAGTTGAGCTACATATAATCTCCTTTTACCTACAGTTAGCATGAACTAGATCCTGAAGCTACAAGGGTACACATTTATTTTAATTTTCTTTATTGTGGGAAGGGATCAAACACTGTTTTTACTGATATCCACAGCTCCTTTCTCTTACCATCCAGATGACAATGGCTTCTTCCAACAAGACTTGAAGCAAATCTCCAACAGCCGCATAGACAGAAATAAGAATGTCTTTCTATCGTAGGGTGGAGGAAAGCTAGGGCCTCATAAACTTTTTATCTCTTTAAAGAGAAGATGATAACTGTAAAACATGACAGTAATTCTAATCCTTCCCAGCTGAATCAAAAATTAAAAAAAAAAAAAGTTTTGGCTGGACATACACTTTCATCACCTTGTGGGCCTTACTCAAATGTACCTGAAAGTACTATTCTTGCTAACATTGGTATTGGCATGATAGATCAATAGATAGATAGATAGATAGATAGATAGATAGATAGATAGAGATTTACATTTGCTCATAAATATGAGGGACTCAAATGGGCTGCATTATAATAGAAATAGTTCACAAAAGGAAAGATGTAGCCACATAATACTAGTACAAATTTTAATACACATTTAAATAAATATTTCCATCATTAATATTAATATTTACAAACATCCTTAAAAAAAGGATAAAAGTCTTGCCAGACAACTGACATTTGTACAGTGTTTTACAAAAAACAAAAAACAAAAAAAACAAAACAAACAAAAAAAAAACAAAAAGAATAACATTATTATCACTATTTTTTACAACTGATTTCTACCACTGGGATGCATTTTTAATTTTTTACCACCATGCAGTTGCAAGTCTTGAGATTTAGTATATTTTTTTGTGTCAAACAAAAACAAGATTTGTCCTCGTTGGTATAAAAAAGATTTTGCTTGTCATGAAAACCTGCTTGAGCCAGGTAATTTAATTTTATTCCCATTATGGAAACTGAATAGGTGAAAAAGCAGCTCTTAAAAATAATTAAAAGCATATGTGATAAAAACAATCAATTACTCCACTAATGGATGTCACAAAAAAAAAAAAAACAATAAAGTAAGAAGGTTCGATTCCTTCTTCAGTCCTCTTGCACCTGTCTTGTTTGTCTTGTTTTTGGTTAAGTGTTTTGATCGGTTAAGTAGCACTTTTGGTCCCAGGTTCGTTCTTCACTACAATATTCTTTTTCTAGATATTAAAAAAAAGGTCTAAGATCTATATGAAGAGCGCACTTTTAGCAAGTTTATAAGTTTGTTTTTGTTTTTCTTTAAAAAAAAGTCTCATTGGAATAAAAAAATAAATCATCTTCTGTAAAAACAAAAAATATATATGTATATTTATATATAAACCACTAGTCCATATGTCTTTTTTTAAATCTTATATTAGAATAGAGTAGTCTGTTTTAAAAGTCCGAGGAGAGGACCATTATCCAGTTCCTACCGAGAGCTTGAGTATCGAGTTCTTTTACTCCTCGATTAAAAGGGTAATTAATAAATTCAAAACGTTTATGAGGTTCGGTTGTGTGATGACCCTTAGGTAACCTTTTCATAAAGTGAACCTCTCGTTGGTGTTGCCTTGTCTTGGATCCTTTTCTTGGGCGTCCTCTACGGGTAAACGCCATGTACCATCCTTCATACTTGGCATTTTGTAATGCTGTGTAGTTGTTTTCCAAGACAATTTCTGTGAAAACACAGTCTTTTCCTCTGCCATTTGTCTGCAATATAAATCAAAACATTAATATAAAACAAAAACAAACAATCTAATGAAACTTAAATATATAATGTTTTTGAAATATCTTTTAGTTTTGCCAAAGAAAAGTCCTGTATCCCAAATGGATCTTCCTTATTTTTCTGTTCTTGGAGTGGTCATTGTTGTATTACACTATTTGTTTAAATGTATGTTATATATAATGTATCCTCTAATTAAACATGACACTTGCTATGCCTGACTGATCTAACATAGGATTCAGAGAATGGAATTAGATCACAGCAATTGATTGAGAAGATCAATGCTTAAACTAATGTGCAGTAATTATTTGGACTTGCCATTTTGGATATATGAACATTTCCTTTATGGTTCAGGTTCATTTGTGAATCAAGTTAATCATCTGGTAGAATTTTTTGCAAATCAGGCCAACACCAAATTTGCAAAATTTGATGACATCAGCATGTCTGTTGAATGTACACGCATTGTTTATTATTGATATCCTGCAAGCAGTTTGCATAAAATGGAAAAATAGCTAATGCACCCTAATGAACTCAGTAAAAAATGAACAAAGGCTATCTATCCTGGTCATGTCCGTGTTTATTATTAATGAGGTTCCTTTTGGCCATACTAAAGAAATGTATTTTAAGCAAAAAGTAGTCAAGTGTCTAAAAAAAAAATTAAAATGCCATATCAACCAAAGAGGTATCAACTTATATCTCTGATCACTCTAAAGCAAGTTCACATTTGATTTTTTATAGGCTTGTTTAAAACTGTTGGATATATCAATGGAATATTGCTTCTCACATCAACTAGCTTCTACACTTTGCCACTGGTTGTTCTAAAATAGGCTAAAACACATTGGTTGCTATGGGCTAACACAAGCAATGTTACTTTTTTTTTCAATGACCCATAAATTAACTAACTTAAAATAACTTGAACAAGCAGTTCCAAAATCATTGATTTAGGAAGAAAAAAAAGTGGGATGCATCATTCTATACAGGTTGTTGTGCAGCAGTGTAACACTGTAACCACCAGGAAGTCATTGTCAATTACTGAAGTGGATAAAGGTTGGGAAAAAAACATTTCAAAAGCAGGTATGCACAGGCAGTGGGCGTATTAACTTTGATCAGCTCGGGTCCCCCTCACCCCCACCCCGTAATAGTGAATACGAGGAATGAAAATCCTTATTGAACGCAGACATCTTTAGAGCCAATAATGGCTTGAAAGTGAAGTTTTTAAAAGGACCCCTCAGAGCAGTTTCTGGGTGTTAAAGAACAACCATGACTAATGTGAAGATTTCAGGGCTTAGTGATGAGGCAGTCTGAACTTTGTGTCTTAACATTCCAAATACTTGTAGCATGTAATTGTACATAATAGCAAAGCAATTTGGCTATTTGTTAAATAAGATATATGGAATTTGAAAAACACCCCCTTTTTTCCCCTTTCAGCTTTTCTTCTTTTTGACTCTTTTATCTCGTCTTTGTTACTCTGTTCCTTTCCCACTTCTCCTGCGCCTTTTGATCAAAAATTGTTTTTTTACCGTGAATTCGGCCCCCCTTCTTTTTTAATCAGCACCTTCTCTGTGCCTCTTGACTGCAATATTCGCCCCAATGGCTTCTCTTTATGCCTAAACTCATTGACAGGCCTTCCATCTCAGTGGGCATAGGACAACATTTTGTCATGCTCTAGAATCCAACACACCTTGCCAACCAACTTTCCTTTCTTGTTCATGCAGATATAATAACCCGTCTCGGCACCTTTAATGCGGACTTTGCTTCCAAACGTGTCTGTTTCCACAATCAGCTTGGCTGCAGAGACAAAAACAGGACAGTTTTGTAATATTCATTTTCAGCCTGGGAAGTCTACTCAGCAAAATACAGTCTTTGCTTAAAAGAGCACTAAATGCAAACTGAAAAAAAATTACATGTGAAAGAGCTGCCAATAAAATCTTGTTATACATGTACAAATTGCTCACAGCTGTATAGAAAATTAGATAACTGACACTTTACTGTGCAGGCTTTTTCTCTGTTTTGAGGCGCCCAAACCTCCCTCTCAACCATCTTTATAGTATTCTATATTCATCCATAAATGTAAAAAACTCGACTTCTAATTTTTGTTCATTGGCCTTCTAAAGCCTAAGGGTGTTATAAGGCAGGTAAGTTACGTAATCACATTTGTAAATAATGTCATCAAGCTCATTTACTTATTCCTGTGAAGGCTGTTAGACTAGTCACTTTACCCATTAGAAAATGTTCAAACCCCTTACTCCTCCTCCCATGGTCAGGTGATAACTCTCCATGGCTTCTAATACTGTCTTTATGCTGATGGCACCCAGATCTATATCTACTCCTCAAGTCACCCCCTTGGTCTCCTTGTGCAGTAATATATCATGCAACTTACATGTCACTATGGATGTCACACCACTTTCTAAGACTGAATCTTTCAAAATCTGAGCTCATAATATTTCCTCCACCCTGCACTCCCCCCCTTTGACTTTTCCATCAATAATACAACTATCTGTCCATCTCTTCATGCCAAGATGCAATCCTGGATTCTGACCTTTTCTTTCATCCCCACATCCAATCACTGTCCAAATCATGCCACCATCACCTCTTTAACATTTCCAAAATATGCCCCTTCATAACTAATGACATCACCAAAATACTGATTCACTGCCATGTCATCTGTCCCCGGCAACATCCCCCTTGTTGGCCTACTTTTACACAGGATATTCCAGCTTCAGTCTATCATGAATGCTGTTGCCAGACTCATTTATCTTAGCAATCACTACCTCTCTGCCAATCCCTCTACTGGCCTCTGCTCTTTCAACAAATATTATTTGAAATACTAGCAGAATCCCATCCACGATACTACCTGCCTGGAGTTTACATGGTCTCCCTGTGCCTGCGTGGGTTTCCTCCGGTTTCCTTCCACACTCCAAACACATGGTGGTAGGTTAATTGGATCCTGTCTAAATTGGCCATAGTATGTGTATGTATAAATGTAAGTTAGGGACTTTATTTTGTACGCCCCTTGAGGGTTAGGGACTGATGTGAATGTACAATATATATATGTAAAGCGCTGCGTAAATTGACGGCGCTATATAAGCACCTGTAATAAATAAAATAAATAACATACAAAGCCATCTACAATTCTGCCTGGAGCTACATCATCAATATTGTGTGTAATCACCCACGTCATCCTCTTCACCCCACCAAAGACCTCCCGCCCTCACGCATTATCTCCTCCCAGGCTTGACTCCAGGACTTTTCCAGAGCCTCACCATCCTCTGGAACTCTCTACTCCAATCACTCTGGTTATGTACTATTCTATCTATCTTAAGGAAATTCCGGAAAACTCTTTTGTTCAGGAAAGCCTATCCAACTTCTACAGAAAAACTGAGCTTTTACTTTCCTCATCAACTCATCCTCCCCCCCCCCCCCCCCCCCCCCCCAGTTTTCAATTTTTTTGTATAACATGTTCCATCCTTTCAGATTGTAAGCTCTCATGAGCAGGGCCCTCCTAAACCTCATCTTCAGTTGTATTGCCCCTTTATTGTAAAGTGTTGCGCAAAATGCTGGCACTACTTAAATCCTATATTATAATAATAATTCAAACTGCACATGCTGTCATGGGGGAACTAGGGATACAATGGAATTCCTTGCAAGTATAGTGTAGACAGTAGATAAATATAGACAATGGTTAGGTATAGACTTCTCCCACAGGAGCAAACATATCTCTAACATTTCTCCCTTGACATTTTTTTAGAATTTGTTTTTTTGGAAGGCAAAGGCTATTAAATTGTTGCATAAACAATAACTGACCAAGGCACTGAAGCGAACCTTCTACTCTGCATGTGTTACAGCTTTGTTCAAGTTGTTGCCTGAAAGTACCTATAGCTTTTAAAACATGGTTTTAGCATGTGGATAACATGTCCTTGGAGAACACCCACCACTGGCATCTTGGCACCCAAACTTTGCATGGGAGCACCTTTCAGGACCAATGGTGACGTCTTAACTGCTTTGTGTCTGGTCCAAGACAGCAATTTACATGAATTTTCCTGATGTGCATAAATGTGTACAAACTGTTAGATATAGGACAGCATGACAGCTAAGTTGCATTCTGGGTTAGTTTTTTTGGGTTTCATGTGGATTTTGTCCAGGGATATCTCGCTTAACATGAGAACACATTAAGACAACGAGCTTGCACCCAAAGTGTTCTTAAAAATAATAAATTTTAGTATTGCCAGTATATTATATATATAATAATAGTCATAATCAAATAATGATTTATTATACAGGCAGGCAAGACCCGAAAGCTAACATGCCATGTTTAACCAAGGCGAACAATAAACACCCTGCTAATCAATCTTAGGAAATGCCTCCTTTTCATTTGTTCTTATCCTGGCCAATAAATGAATCTGTTACTTTAACAAAGGTTGAGCTTCTTCTAAATAGACAGTTACCATATTGTAGCAACCTGCAGAAATGAGCCCATTTTCCAGGTTATATTTGGAGTTATTTTACTCTGTGCACTGACATACAGCCGAGAGACCCAGTAAGACCCAGAGAATAGCAAATGCCCTTTAATTTGTTTCACCCTTGTGCGTTGAGTCATATTGATTTACTTTCTGTTTTTTTAACAGAGGCATTGATCGTTGTTCAGACTGACTATGCAAATTTTGGGTCAATGAAGCTTAAAAAAAAAAAAAGGGAAAAAAAAAAAAACACCCACACATCCACATTTAAACCTAACATGATACTGCTTTGTCTGCTTATGCCTATAGTGATTGTTGGACATTATGGTATTAAAACGAGAGACAACTGCACAAGTGATTATGGCAGAGCAAAAGATTATTAATATTTTGTGCTGATGTCTTTTTATGCAATCATATTCTTGCATTTTTTTTCTAGGAACACTTACAATTTTCCCCTAAAATGTAAATGTAATTGCATTGTGAAGCTGTTCATTAGATTAGCCATCTACCCACACAGTGCATGGAAAACTGGATATTGAATCCTGTCTCCATCCTATAGCAAATAGTGTAAGTAGCAGAACTTTAGCTTGTATGAGATTTTCCATCAAAGAGACATAAATATGGTTTATAGGATGCAATTAAATTTCAGGTATCATGTCTATTGGCCAGGGTTGAAACTATAAGAAAGAATCTGATTTGTTGTCATGATCGACATCATATCCAATGCCTCTAAATGTATTATATTTTTAAATCCCTTGATACAGTGATATGCGTATAGCCTATATATTGCCAAGAACCAAAATGTAACATCTGTCTCCAAACAGTCCCATGGAGCAAAAAATTCTTTTAAACTTGATACTGCCTTTAATTCACTAGCTATGAAAATGTACTGATACCTTGTTGATTTTTTTTTAGTTTGGCGTATGAAGGAAAATCAATCTGAAATCCAGTAAAAGGCTTAAAGAATATTGATTGATTGCTGTGTCTGTCTTGTGCATTGTTTTACTGACAAGATAAAAAATTACCATGCCATCAGTCCCATAATACAGGAAGCCGCATCTTTAAAATGAGCAAAAGAGCACTTTTACTGAAGGTAATTTTAACATCGGCTGGTGTTCTATTTAAATACCCAATCAGATTTAGAGTATTTTTTTTTAATTTCCCAGAATCTGATTGGGCAGCTGAATCAAGCACAAGGCAATGTAAAAAAAAATGAATCCTTTAGAATAGCTTTATTGAAACATTAGGCAGTGTACAAACTTCTCCTTTAGTATGTTATCTATCTCTCTGTCTATTTATTTATCTATCTGTCTGTCTATTATCTATATATCTACCTATCTAGCTATCGGCTATAAAGGTAACTATGTATATTTCATATCCTTGTAATATCTTGTTTTGTAGCTTTATCACATTTTTTCAGGATTACAAACTCTTCAAGTTGTGATTAATTTAATTCCACCAAACATGCTTTTAATCTGTAACTATGCTGATTGTAAAATGAATGTTCTCCCCTCTATGATTTTTTTTCTTCTTTTTTATTTTTTTTTAAGAAGGGGTCATGAGATTTTTGGAGATGTATTTTTGGAAAGCTTAGCGTTTTCATTTCTATTCTTTTGCTCTAGTGACAGCTTTATCCCAGTAAAATTATGTTTCAAGCTGAAACTTTGAAGGAAAGTAGCTACGTTGATGCAGAAAAAATGCAGTGAGACACATCTGATCCCAAAACTGCACTGAGAAGAGGAGAAAGTATTCAGGAAATGTTGAAAAAGGTGAAAGTAAGAAGAGTTTTTAATGGCTCTTCCAGACATTAGGGGTCTCTCTGGAGATTCATATAGAACGATCTTGAACGTCTTTTTAGCGTTTACAGACTACAACTTTCTTAAACCTTTACATCTGAGAAAAAGCTTGTTCTTTTTCTGTTTTATATCATACTTCCTAACCGTCATAACATAAAAATATATGTATATATATATATATATATATATATATATATATATATATATGTGTGTGTGTGTGTGTGTGTGTGTGTGTGTGTGTGTGTGTGTGTGTTTATTCTTCTTTTTTCTTTTGCATCCCCTGCCTTGACTTCTATCAAATAACTATCTTTAGTTGTAATGTTCTGTTTTGATCTAAATTATGCTTTGCTTTTTTTTTTTTTTTGCTGTGTAACTGTATGTAGACATACCCCCTCTCTACCAGACTGTCTGTGTTCACTAATACTAAACCTATTTTACAGAACATTTTTTTTTTCCTTTTGGTAATAATTTCTCAAAACATAAAAAAAAATTCCACAGTTTCCTACATTAACAGCCAAAGTGTGTTTTAGGGTTATGCCGTAATCATTGCATCCCTGTGTTCAATTCAATGTTAAACTTTAGCTTCATAGGTTACAGAATTTCAAATTGAGGGAAAATTTACAAGTGTGAATCCCTTGTTTGAATTGCTAGTATCAGGAGATTTCCACAGAACAAAACCATAGGAAACAAGGGAGGCCTACTTCAAAGTTTGGAATTTAATTGACCGTTTAATTTACGACATGGATTGCTAAAAATGGACTTCTTAAAATAACAGCTGATTCCTTGACTCTTCCCACCTGAACAGGCCTGGGCTTTGAGCACCACTGTCACTAAGGCCTATGCCTGCGTTAGCAACAATATACAAGAAAGCAGCTGTGAAGAACATTTCACTTGCATGCTGTCTTTGTGAACTAATGAAAAATTTTTTTTTTAGTACTTTAAAGACAAACTGAAGTGTACAGTGCATACAGCATGTTTAAGCAAGACTAACACTATAAATATATATTATTTAATTCATTATACGATTGCAGAGTAATCACCAGTGGAAAATCAGTGAAATTAATGCATTCTGTTAAAATATCTGATGCAGCAGAATGCTTCAGAAAGTCAAGTGCTTGAAAACAATATTCAATATGGCTGCAAGCAGGGTGAATTTAACATATTTCAAAATTACATTGGACACAGGCAGACTTGATAGAAATGACTTGATGTATCAGAGTTGCTACATGTACAAATATTCCTTCTATGGATACATATAATCTTTCTGTCCACTAGTTCATACATGTTAATTTAATCAAGGAAAGTCAGTAAAAGCTCAAGCTGACCCTAATATGGTGACCCTGTTATTATTAACTGCCCTTATCCATTAACAAATGCTAGTTCTTAAGTGCAATAACCCATAGCAACCAATCAAAACTCACTCTGCTGAGTAGATGAATTCTGATTGGCTGCTATAGGTTACAGCTTTAAAGACTGATCACTCTCTAGGAAATTAGGCTGAAAGTATATTAACATCTTCCATCCATCAAAAGACGTAATAAAGATCTACATAACTATACAAAGCAACTCAAACAAAAGCACAGCTCATTTATCCATTTGCTGCATAACCTACAGTTTCAGTCTTTAAGTCATTTGATCAGAACTGGTATGACTCTGCAGGTTATGCGGTCTCATATTTCAGCTGCCAAATTTAGAGTGCAAGCTTTATGGGGCACTGACTCATGAGGACAAAAAAGAGTAATCTCTTTTTCAATCACATGTTGTCCAACTATATGTTGTTACTACACTACAGAGGGCACAATTAATATTATTTGTCTTTGGGTTATTGGTTACGATTGGGGCCTTGCAGCACTGGTGTCTCTGATAAAATTCCCATCAGGACACTGTCTACATGGAATCTATATGGTCTTCCTGCATTTGAGAATTTAATATGCGATAAACTCATCCCATCATCAAAAACTATGCGGATTGGTCAATTGGTATTCACCCAGACTGGCCCTGAGGTGTACGGATCTTCAGTATGGATCTCTGCCAGCAGTGTAAGATTCTAAGACTCTCTAAGCACAAGCCATGAATAGTATGATGTATTCTGCAAAGGCCTGTGCAATGCTGGCCCTCTAAAATTACCAAAATAAATCTCCTTCTTATATGTATTCATTGCTTATTGATCTTTTGAAGTATTGTCTTTTCTTTGCAATGCAAACTGTTTAATAATTAAAAAAAAAGCAACTTAGAAAATAAAACAACCTAAAAACCAAGCACACCAAACACAAAACAAGAAAGAGTTGTGGCAACAGAAGCTAGAACAAGAGTGGTATCAAGTCTTTGGATATGGCTTATCTTCTACACAATTAAAATACTAACTGAGCTTTGCTCTAGGCCTGTGTAGTCCTATCTGCTTCAAGGTCCCCGAAATTAAAGAGAAATTAAAATAATATATTTTGTACTTGAATTACTAACTGAAACAGGCAAAATGAACAAGGTAAAGATGCATTGTATCCCCTATCAACATGTATACTTTAAAGGCCCAAATATTTGGCAGTTATCATTACTCCACTCATCGGCACATGGACTGTAGTACCAGGTCCCACATTAACAATGATATATCTTCCTGAAATCCCCAGGCCAAAAAAGTCTGCTTACCATGTGGATCCCCATCCTCGGCCATTGCATTGATTTTCTTGTTGTCCAGCACTTGTACGTGTTTCCCGCTGGTTCGGCTGTACAGCTGGTAGGTCCTGATAAGCCTTCTGCTCAGCTGATCGGTCACCAGGCTTTGCTCCCTCACATGCTGTGTAAAATTAGGTGGGGACTGAACAGTTACCTTTAGGAAATACATAAAACAAGCTATTATATTTATACTGCTTAGTACAACTAGATGAAGCCCGAACACGCTCTAAGGTGTTGCTGGGGTACTTTAAGGGCATTAACACAAGATCAGGGCAATAAGAATACATTACAAGTAGCTCAAAGACTACGAGTAAATGTATGGTATACATACTCATAAACTATGCCCATCATTATTAAAGTCACATTGCCAAATCCTGGAACTCTATTTAAACAGGGAGTTTGGAGTTAAAATAGGAATCTGGTAAGTTACAAAATTTGGCAGCACAGTAATATAACACAGATCTATGGCAGAAATGAATCTCAGTCTATCTGTACCATATAATTACATGATAAAACAAATGAAGTAGATAGTAACTAATGAAATAATAAGCTACTATCACTAATACTCCTAATACTCATGCATATACACAAAGGCTGTATATGTGTGTGTGTATATATATATAATTTTATATATAATTTTTATTTTTTTTTAGATATACACATCTTTGAACATCAATATAGCTGCAATGTTACATATTAATATATTAATGTGCGGAATCCACATTTACCAGTGTGACAAATTTGGCAGATTGCAAAGCAAACCCTTCTTGCTGAGATTTATACTCCCTTTGGCTTTACAGAGCTCCATTGGACACAAGCAGAATTGCTCTTGTCTTTGACATTTATAAAGATGTATATTCAACAAATGTGAAGGAGATTCCTCTTTCCTTCTATGGGTGACAAGGGAGCTCTTACTAAAATCCCCATATCAAATCAGAGATTCTGCTTCTGAACAGCCCATACCTCACAAAGTCAATAACATTCTTTCTTTTTTTTTTTTTTTTTTTTACTGTGTCCTGAGTCTAGTGAAGCTTCCCATTCCCTTAGGTGTCCCTTCCCTTTTTACATGTGTAAGTGGGCCAATATGTTTTGAATCTGCTGCCAGGTCTCAACATTGCATCCTGGGGTGATATAGACTGGTAATCATACAGCTGGTACAACCCCATCTGATATTGCAATGATTTTCCTAAATCTTTATTTTAAATGTTAACACCTGTTTTGTATACCTAATTACATTTATTGCTTGATTGTCTATTATAGATAGTCTACATTCTTTACAGAATACATTTTTATTAAAAAAATGTTTTCAAAGATTAACTTAAATATTTACTAGGTCTCATGTCTTGATAGCCCACATTCTTTACAAAAACATTTTATATTAAAAAAGGTAAAAAAAATAACAAAATTTATATTAGATCTACTGAACTGATAACCAACAAAATGTATATTAGATCTACTGAATTGATAACCAACAAAGTGTATATTAGATCTACTGAATTGATAACCAACAAAGTGTATATTAGATCTACTGAATTGATAACCAACTGTCTTTCCAAAATGTATTCCTATTAATATTGGTCAAAAATGAACTAAAATACATATAAGATATATCAGCTTGATAGCCCAGTCTTTATAAAATATGATTATATTAATAAAGTCCAAAAAAATCAACTAAAATATTTTAGATCTATTGCCTTGACCTTGAGGTATAGAGTTTATAATCCAAACAGGTATACGTAAATTTGTAACACCCTGCAGCTTGTTGTGTTGTTGCTACTATGTATCAATGTGTTTCTTCTGAATGAATGCAGAGTTTTAATGGACACAAAATAGAATACAGTGAAATATAAGCGAAGGTAACAAAAGTTTGATCCTTACCTGAGCTTGTAAGCAGATGACAAACAAGTGCATCAACCTAGAAAAGAAAACACAGAAATACAGGATTTAGAGGGGTGTTGTGTAGTCAGGGGATGGGAGAGGGGATGGTAAAAGTTGGGTGTACTCACATATATCCGAGCATGGATGTCATGTAGCTCATGGTGAGACTGTAGTAAGGAGGATAGTCCCTGGGAGGGTTGCTGTGTGTCTGGCAGGCTGGCTGGGGAAGGTCCTTGGCTGGGAGAAGGTGCAGAGCTGCTTAGTCCTAGGAGCTCAGGCACAGTCCCCCTCCCATCTCCCTGTCCAGGATGCCGGAGAGCAGGAGAGCCTAGGCGGAGGGCTAGACCAAGGCAGATCGCCCCCAACACAAAGCTCCCCCCAAACAAGGATCCTTCACTGCTTCGCAAACAAGAGGCTGGGATAAAAATCAGAGAGCGATCCCCCTTTCCAATGAAGTCGCTGCTTGGTGCCCAGACAGAAGAGCCCGACGTCGGAGGTGGCTTCCAATGAGTCCAGAGGAGGTGCAATTGTCCAAGTCTTCTCCTCAAGGGTGGCTGCAGATGGCCAAGTCCCAAGTAGATGCAAGAAGCCGGACTGTCAGGTTCAGCCTCCTTCACAAAACTGAAGCAAACTCAGGATAAGTTAAGAAAAGAAGCTTCTTGGGAGGATCAGGATTTTTTTTTCTCCCCTTCTGTGAAAATGACGTTGCAGGGCAGCCCTTTGCAGTGTGATGAATGATGATGAAAGGATTTGCTGAGTGCTGATCACACTCTAGTTAGTAGCCAATGTAACCTGGCTGTGATTGGGGGACCTCCTGATAGCTCGATGACTGTGTGTATATGTGTGTGTGTGTGAGAGAGAGAGAGAAAGAGAGTGTGTGCATTGGCTGGTGTCTCATTGAGCACTAAGTGCACTGATTGCTAGCAGTCCCTCCTCTTGTCCTGAGCTCTCCAATGTCAAACTCCCTTCTCATCTATCCTGGCTTAATTGTGGGAGGATGGTCCCAGGAAAAACCAGCCCCTTATATCTGTAGCCTTACAGGATGCCCTCAGTTATATACATAAATTATGTAAGTCATTCAACTCTGCCAATTACCCTTTGCAGCTCCTGGAATGAAGTCAGCAGCAAGTGCACACAGGCAATATCACAAAGATGCTGTGGACTGAATTGGGGATATGCTGAGATAGACTGAAATATGTGCACGTGAAACCACAGACTACAGGCACACCACAAACATATCATCTCTCAGTCTTCAAGCACATTTGTACAATAAATAAAAGACAGAATATCTCTGATTTGTTTATTATCCTGTTTTGCATTTCATTGCTCTCTGAACATCTTAGATTGTAAGCTCCAAGGATCAGGGCCTTCCTAACCCTCTTGTATTGAACTGTATCATTGCTGTATTGTCTCCCTTTATATTGTAAAGCGCTGAGCAAACTGTTGGTGCTATATAAATCCTGTATAATAATAATAAAGCTTATCTGCACTTGTTGTGGAACTACAAACCTCAGCATGGCAGGCTTGCTTATTAGCAACTATTTAAAACTGAAAACCCTAGCATGGCAAGCTTGCTTATCAGCAGCTGATGTGGAACTGTAAACCCCAGCATAACAAGCTTGCTTATTAGCAAATGTTTGGAACTGAAAACCATAGCATGGCAGGCTTGCTTATCAGCAGCTGATGTGGAACCACAAACCCCAGCATGGCAAGTTTGCTTACCTGCAGCTGCTGTGAAACAACAAGCTCCAGCATAGCACGCTTGCTTACCTGCAGCTGCTGTAGAACTACAAGCTCCAGCATAGCCAGCATACCTGAAACTGTTGTGGAACCAAAAACCCCAGCATGGAAAGCTTGCTGACCTGCAGCTGCTGTGAAACTACAAGCTCCAGCATGGCAAGCTTATCAGCAGCTGATGTGGAACCATACATTCCAGCATAACAAGCTGCTGTGGAACTACAAGCTCCAGCATTGCAAGTTTGGCAACAGCAGCTGTGGAACCACAAACCCCAGCATGGCAAGCTTGCTTACCTGCAGCTGTTGTGGAACTACAAGTTTCAGCATGGCAAGCTTGCTTGTGTGCAGCTCTGGTGAAACTAAAATCTCCAGTATAGTCAGCTTGCTTATCTATATCTCTTGTGAGACTACAAGTCCCAGCATGGCAAGCTTGCTTATCTGCAGCTGTTGTGGAAATGCAAGCCTCAGCTTGGCAAGCTTACATTGCTGCAGCTGCTGTGGAACTACAAACCGCAGCATGGTGAACTTGCATAGCTACAGCTGTTGTGGAACTACAAGCCCCAGCATGCCAAATGTGCTTATCTGAAGCCTTAGTAGATCTGCAAGTCTTATTCTGGCAAGCTTGCCCCTCCACATCCATCTGCACAGTGGCAATACAACGATGATGTGCCAGTATATATATACATATATATATATATATATATATATATATGCATCTCACACCTACAATGGAGGCTTGAAATGCCCCTTTCTCCTTAATCTGTTGGAAATATAATAAAACACCTTGTAATTGTGTTTGCAGCTGATCTGTGCCATTCACTAGCGATGATGTATTTGATTTCTTCTAGGAAAATGGCAGTTTTTCAGCATGTTTATGAAAGTGTGAAAAAGCTGTGTCAGGGTGTGAAGGACAGGAGGATACTTGGAGGCAGCAGAAACCAGACGTAAGCAGGAGATGTGTAGTGCAGGCTCGGCGCTTTGTGTATTGGGACTGCTTGAGTGGAGTATGTAAAACTGGCAGACTGGTTCATTGGATTAGTTTCTTTTTACTCAGAAAAACCAACAATAAACAAGCCTAGAATAAAAACACCTTGGCTTTTAACCCTACATCACCTGCCCTGTACATTGCTATGGATAGGGGGGTGGGGGCAGGCTATGGACGGGGCTCTACACCTGTACTGGGCTACAAGACTGCAATACTTCTCCTAAAACATTAGATAGGAAGAAGGGGTTATCTAGTCCAAACCTGGACAAAATCGAATTATAAGTGCTGTAGTTACAGGTAATCACTCTTCCTACATGGGCTGCTGATGAAATCAATGCTCTGTAGGGTCGTCTCCAATTAACACAGTTATCTGGACATATTGGGGTAATAAAGGAAAATGATGCACTTTGCAAGAGAATTTTCCCTTACCTTAGTCAATAAAGTGAAGCTGTACCGAATTGCAGTCAGGTACAAGCAAAAATAATCTTTCGTAGGTAATTGAGTGTCCTTGCAAAGGGGATTTTGAACACATTCACTAAGCTAATGAAAACAAATCCCTTGCAAAGTGAACAGTCTATTTGTCTTTAGTAAATCAACCCCAATGCGTACATTTAGGCAGTTTATTTATCAGTGTTTTCATCCAAGAATCATCCATTTTCCCATACATTTATTCAGAAAAAATGGATGAAGCTTGTGTGAAAGTTTGTGAATCTTGGGGTGAAAACTATTAATATAAAGACCCTAAAATTGCTACTAGTGTATATAATATAATTCACACATTGACCAAGATAAAAAGCTATCAAACTGCACAAAAATATATCCAACAATTCAACCCCCCCCCCCCCCCCCCCTAATTTCTAGCATTAGCAAAGCTCCTTTATCATTTGGATACTGCATATAAAATAATACCATAGGGACGTATTATATACAGAAATTATTAAGACCCACACATTTCTAGCTTTAGACCAGGGGTCTCCAAGGGCTCATGGGACTTGCAGTTCCTCAACACCTGGAGGGACATAGTTTGGAAACCCCTGCTTTTGACTATAGAAAAGCTCCTCCATCATTACCTACTATGAACTACTGGATGAAAAAGAATGTCACAGACAAGTATTTTCAACAACTAATGACACCCCTTAATTTATATCTTCAGATTATATAAAAGCTCCCTCACCATTGCCTACTATGGATTACTGGATGTAAAATAATGCCATAGACATGTATATTCAACAGCTTATTGACATCCCTTAATTTATAGCTTTATATTATATAAAAGCTCCTCCACCATTGCCTACTATGTTTTACTATGCCATAGACTTTATATTAAAAAAATGACCAACACCCCCGAATTCCCAACTTTAGACTATATAAAAGCTACTCCACCATTGTCTACCATGCATGACGTAATATCATATATATATATATATTCTGCAACTTTCAACACTCCACGTTTCTAATATATATCAATAAATTAGCACCCTCAAACTTTTATCTATAGACTATATCAAAGCTCCTCCATCATTGCCTACTATGAAGTACTGCATATAAAACAAAGTAGGCAATGATGGAGGAGCTTTTATCTACAGATAGAAGTTTGAGGGTGTTAAGATTTGTTAAGAATGTATATGGCTTTATTTTATAGGCAGTAGTCCATAGTAGGCAATGATGGAGGAGATTTGATATAGTCTACAGATAAAAGTTTGAGGGTGCTAATTTATGCTACTGCATATAAAATAAAGTCATATACATATAAATATCTAACAAATATTAACACCCTCAAACTTCTAGCTGTAGACTATATCAAAGCTCCTCCATCATTGCCTACTATGGACTACTGCATATAAAATAAAGTCATAAACATATCTAACAAATATTAACACCCTCAAACTTCTATCTGTAGACTATATCAAAGCTCCTCCATCATTGCCTACTATGGACTACTGCATATAAAATAGTCATATACATATCTAACAAATATTAACACCCTCAAACTTCTATCTGTAGACTATATCAAAGCTCTTCCATCATTGCCTACTATGGACTACTGCATATAAAATAAAGTCATACACATATAAATATCTAACAAATATTAACACCCTCAAACTTCTATCCTCAAACTCCTCCATCATTGCCTACTATCTGTAAACTATATCAAATAAACCCTCCTCCATCATTGCCTACTATGGACTACTGCATAGAAAATAAAGTCATACACATATAAATATCTAACAAATATTAACACCCTCAAACTTCTATCTGTAGACTATATCAAAACTCCTCCATCATTGCCTACTATGGACTACAACATATGGAGTATAGCCATAAACATTGGGGACCTTTTTATGGGTCATCTTCTGCATCATCCAATTTTATTAGGTAGGACAATCTTAGAAAAGGTATGTCTTAAGCCCTCCTATCTGAGCAGTGATTAAATCTGC